CTTTTCCTGATAACTAGACCTGATGTTCCTCTACTCCATCATAATCTCACCACTTTCTTGTTAATGTTACTCTTCATAATTCTGCTCTTAAGGAATTTTCTAAAAAGGAAATATTAAAATTAGGAACTATTGTAAGCCTATGGGCGAAAGAGTTGTTCTAACAGAAAGTGAAGCACAAATTTCTAAATGACTCATGTCAAAAAAAATCATAATGGAAATTAGAAGATATTTAAGGTGTATAATGATAAATGCTTGCTTGCTCGCTCTCGCACACTCTCTCTCTCTCTCCTGGTGCCCTGATCCTCTCCAGCATGAGTTGGGTGGGGTTACAAGGGTGTTTGCTTTATAATAATTCACTAATCTATTAAAAACAAAAAACTTAAGGGATGCAACTAATGTGGTACTTAAGGGGAAATGTTTGCATTTTTTTTTAAAGGAAGCTACTATTTAATACGCTAAACAGTTAACTTATGAAGTTAAAAAAGAGAGAGAGAACCCAAAGAAAACAAAAGACGTATTTTAGAAAAATAAAGCCAAGTCTGATTTAAAAAATGCTGTTCCTGCCAAATTAGAGGAAGATGAGCAACTGTAAAAGCTTGAAGAATAGAGTGAAAGAAACCTTTTCTGGACTCATATTGCTTCTCAAATGCCTACATAGTCCTGCTCACTTGGCTCACACTATTTGTTCCTCCTGACTGGAACCACCATACACAGTGGGCAAGGAGACCCTGGTCTAATGGTTTTTGAACCTCCAGAAGGATCCCTGGCTTTCCTCTTGCCTCTCCAAAATGACTACACCCCACCTTTGTGCTCCTTCATACACCACAGAAGCTCCTATTCAAGCATTTTATTATCTTTCATTTTCCATATTTGCCTATCTCTACTGATCTGTAACCTTGTGAGATCAACAGACAGTGATTGAATGAATTTGATTGATTAAAATAAATCTAAAAAAAAGAATGGGATTGGTGGAAATGTGGTGATATGAAAGGTATTCAAGACACACTATTAAACAAGAACAAGTTTGTGTATGTGTGCACATGTGTGTCTGGAATAGCACACACACCAGTGGATACCTCCAGGGACAGGACAGAGGGTTGCAAAGGAAGAGGACTTAACTCTTCCCCTTACCTCTTCTGTAGGATGTCAAAATTTTAACGTGGCATAACATTTTTTTTTAATGCTTCGACTATGGATTTTTTAAAAATCATTTTTTTCAGGGATCATTTTTTTCTAGGAAAAAACCCACATATCAATTTTAAACCTGAGTATAATAGGCTTCTCTGGTGTCTACAGAATCAAAGCCATTTCCAAATGCTTCTACAACAACTAAGAGAGCACAGTCACAGAATCGGCATATATTCAAAGTGGAAGTCATATCAGTCTTTTATTGAAATATCACAATGTTATTCACAGCACTCCTAGGAAATGAATAACAACCATTTCTATGTTACAAATTCCTCCATTTTGCATAAAAATGGCCAGTCTTAGGGAGGCAGTATAATAGAGTGTTCAATGGACATGCTTTGAAATCTGAGTTGGAACCCAGGCTCTGTCATTAGTTGGGTGATGAAATTCACCTGTCTAGACCTCAGTTTCCTAGAGTGATGAGAGTGATCCTGCCTGCCTGTCACACCCTACTCCAGTACCTCTGCTGGAACACAAGCTTGCTTTCTGTGCGTACGTGGACAAACATGTTTTACTTAAGTGACAACCACTTATGACCTCAAGCAAGGGATAGTACTGCTTTGGACCAGGCTAAAGTAGGTGGCAGCCACCTGAAGCAAACCACGAGAATTATAGGCACTGTGATCTGGCAGGTCCATGGATAAGTCAAATCTTTAGTAACTGAATCTTTATCAAAGCCATTGAGATACACAGAAAAAATAGAAAATCTGTATGCCATTAGTGTCACTTATAGCCAGCTGAGGGTAGGGTCAGTATGAGACAGAAGCTACTCCTCCTACAACCATGGTGCAAACTACATTTGCCATGTGCACTGTCACAGGTACTGAGAGCTAACCAGCAAGGGTCCTGCTACCTGGGGCTTGGGAAGAGCCATGACAGTGCTGGCTGCCTACTCCACCTATCCCAAACCCCAGATCATGATCATGGAATCTAGCTCATGAGTCATGGGCACACATATCCACGTACAGATTTGAATCAACTGATTAGATTTATTGATTTATTTTTAACTTTTTCTTTTTTTCTTTTTTGCCTTTAAAAAAATATAGCAACCATCTACTTAATAGAAGTTATACTAGTTTTTCTTTTATAATCATCAGATAAGATCTCCTTTTAAAATGTATTTAAGTGTAAAAAGTGACTGAAAATTGAGAGACACTGCCTTAAGCCAACAACTGCAGATTCTGTTTCTGATACTAGCACAAGAAAAGTGCTCTAGATGGATGCAGCTGACACCATCTTCAATTATGCCATCCACGAGGAGTGGCCCTGGCTGTGTATAACTTCCGCTGGGGCAACGTTACAATTCCATTTCTTCCATCTTTTCTAAATGTACTTTTCATTACTTGTACTTTATTTATTTATTTGTTTGGTTTTTATTTTAGCGTATTATGGGTGTACAAGTGTTAAGGTTATATTGCCCATGCACTTGTACCATATTTAAAACCACAGAAAACATCTCAGCATCTCAGCTGGAGTAAAATCTCTGAATAGAATGTGCTAATTCTTTAATAAAACAAGAACTAAAGTTAAATGTGTATACTCTCCTGTCATTGTCCCCCCATTCTTATTTTGAAAATGTTCCAAGCTTCAGAAAAGTTATGAGAATACAAAGTGGTAGAGAAGTTAGAATCCTCAAATGCGGCTGGTGGACTGTGAAGGAGTGCAGGCACTATGGACAACAGTTTGGCAGTTCCTCCAAAAGTTAAACATAAAGTTACCCAGCAAAATGCACTCCTCGGTATAATAACAAAGAGAAATGAAAACATTTGCTCACATAAAAAATTGTACTAGAATGTTCATATTAGCGTTATTCTTACTAGCCAAAAGGTAGAAATAACTGAAATGTCCATCAACAGGTGAAAGGTTAAACAAAATGTGTTCTATCCATTCAATAGAGTATGAGGAACTGACACATGCTACAACATGCATGAACATTGAAAATATTATGTGAGGTGAAGAGAAGCCAGTCACAAAAGGCCACACATTGAATGATTCCATTTATATGAAATGTCTAGAATAGGCAAATCCATAGAGACAAAGTAGATTTCTGATCGCCAGGAATTGGGAGGGAGGGGGAATGAGTAGTGACTGTTAATGGGCTCAGAGTTTCTTTTTGGAATAATGAAAATGTTCTAAAATTAGAGAGCGGTGATGGATGTACAACTCTCTATACTAAAAACTACTGAATTGCACACTTTAAAAGGGTGAACTTTATGGTCTTTGAATTATATCTCAATAAAACTGTTATTAAAAAATATAAAGGAGACCTATACAGCTTTCAACTACATTCAGCAATTATTAATATTTTGCTGCATTTGCTTTCTTTCTTTCTACTATACAAATACATGTATGAACATATACACATACACAACTTAGGGCTGGGCACTTTGCTCCAAAATACTTTAGGATATGGAATATTCTCCCACATAACCAAAATACAAATATCACACTCAGGAAATTCAACAGCAATACAAAACTATTAGTTAATATATAGTCCATATTAAGATTTATTTTTTATCAAAAATTATGTATTATATTTGGTTCTCATGTCCTTTTAGTCTTTTTTAATCTGGAAAAATTTTCTAGCCTTTATTTTTTTCATGACATTGACATTTTTGGAGAATCCAGCCCAATTATTTCACAGAATGTCCTTCAATCAGGATATGCCTGATTGTTTCCTTTTGAATCAATTTGGATTAAACATTTTGGCAGGAATTACTGCATAGGTGAGTTGTGTCCTTAGTGCATCATGCCAGGGGGTATAAAATGTCAGTCTCCCTAGTGGGGATGGTCAAATGTTCATTATTGGTCTTGGTTAGGGTGGTGACTACTAGATTACTCCATTGTAAAGTTAGCTTATTCCCTTAGTAATTAATAATGGGAGGGGTGTGACCATTTGAATCTGTGTAAACATCAGGTTTCCCCAATTGTCTTTTATTCCAAAGTTTTAGCATCCACTCAAGATCTTTGTCTGGTATTCTATCCCTTTTGAGATTGCTATGCACTGATGTGACCAACCACTGCTATCAATGTTATTCCACAGAGCACTGGAGCTAGCTGTGATTTCAACCCTAGATGCACATGAGACTCACTGGTATCCCTGGGTGTGGAACCCGGGCAATATTATTTTTAAATTCCCCAGGGTGATTGACTCTGATACAGAATAAAGGTTAAGATTCCCTAAGTTAGAGGAATCTAACAACACTGTCATTTTACAAATAAGAACACTGAGGCCCAAGAAGGTTAAATGACTGGCCAATAGCAGAAAACAATGGCATAATTAAGATTTTACTTTTTTATACTTGTGTTTTAACATGCCATACCTTCTGTATGTTATTCAAAGAATAAAACCAGAAAAATGAGTAACTTCTGTAGTATGTTGTTAGAAGTGACCACCACCTTAAGTATGCTGCCGCCAGATGTGCATATTTCCGCTTTCAATGGTAATTTTGCCTTTCGTTCACCAGACCTCTCAGATCATTTTAGGAGACAGGGAAAGCGGAGTTTGGTCTTCGGGCTCCTCCGCCCTCTGGGATCACTGCAGTCTCAAGCTTGGGGGCCCCAGATGAGCGGGACGTTCAAGGGGCCAGACGGTCGGACCTGCAGCCCCGGCGCCAGGGGCTAGCCCACGCTCGCGCCACAGACGCGGCGGCGCCTCCTCCCGGTGTCCCTAGCAGGACAGCCAGCCTCGCGCGGGACTCACCTGGTGAAGATGCACCTGGCGGCGCGCCCCTGCCCCGCCCAGGGACACGCCCACGTGCGCTGGGCGCTGGGGACCACAGAACCTGCAGGCCCGCCCACCCCCCACTTACCCCGGCGTGATAAACCTTATTCGCTCTTTTAATCTTGATGTCGAGGGAAGTCCCCATCTCAAATTCTCCGCAGCGGCCACCACTTCCGGCAGCGCGTGACCGAAAGGGAACGGGGGCGGTTCCGCCCCTCCACGCTGACAGAGGTGTCACGTGACCCCGCACCGACGCGGGACCCACTCCCCAGCTCCAAGAGGGCGTACGCCCCACGCCTTCCTCCTTCCGGCGCAGGAGCCGGGCTTGGCGCGTCCAGAGGGGCTGTCACCCTTCACCCCGCCCCGCCGCGCGTGAGGGGCGGGACCAGACTAGCCCCACCCCTTCCGTAAGGACAGTATTACGCCGGAAGTACTCTTCTGCCCGGTTTAGGGCAGTGGGGGGGAACTCTCGGCTCTCCCGGCGTGCCCCGCGGCAGGGGGCCGGACCGGTGCTGGCAATGTCAGGCCGCGTCGGGCTGTGCGGCGCGGGGCTGCAGTATGGAGTTGGCTTTCGGGAGGTTGTAACTAGGGAATGCGTTCGGTCCCCAGATCTCCTTCCTCTCTTCGACTCTAGCCATCCCCTACTTCGTCCCTGCTCCCTGGGCTTCTGAGGAGGCGGTGCCCGCTCCCTGCCCTTCCCGCGAGAGTCGTCCGGCTCGCCCGCAGGGCCGCGACCCTGCGCTCCCGGCCTGCAGGGCGCTGATTGGCTGGCGGCCCGGCTGCTCCGCCCCCTCCCGCCGGGCCTGGGGCCAAGGTCTCGGGCAGCGCCGGGTGACCTCGCCCTGCTGCGGGCCGGGCGCCGGGGCGGCCGCCAGCCGGGCTCTGCGCGGCCGCGCGGGCTTGTGGGTATTCCCCAGGCGCGTGTCCTGGAACCGGGTGTCAGATTCAGAGCTGCGCGCCCCGCCGCCTGCCGCGCGGTCCCCTGCGCCCGGACGTGGGAAGCCTCGGAGATTGGCTGGCAATGCAAGGCTGTGGATCTGCCTATCCTTTTTATTCCCAGCAACAACTGACTAAAGTAGACTGGAGATACATATTGTGGTTTGGGGGGGCGGGTACTTCCTCCAGGCAGGGCAGGCAATGCAGTGTTAGGCAACATACTACGTTTATTGAAATAAAATCTTTGTAAATCTTTTAAATAAGGACTTTTCCAATAAGCAAAAGGTCAAATTCCATTATTTTGGTAAACAACTTAATTAAATAATGCGGTGAAGAAATGCTTGTTTAAATTCCTTGATTCTGATACTTGTTTTTTACAAGTGCATTACTTTGGGGAATGACATCAGAAATTTTCTATAAAATGGTTTCATGAATTAGTGTCACGAATGCCTCCCTCTTGAGAATTTAAGTGTTTTATACACCAACAGTGATGATACTACAGCTACAATTGCCCTCAGGGCTTTGGTCTCTGTCTTGAATATTTTCCTGGCAACTCAAACTTTGCAATTCTAGAGGAATCCATTAGGGACGTAATCACAGACTAGTCTGTTTGAATTCCAGAAGTGTATCCCTCTCCACTTTACCATCATTTTCAACTGGTAAAAAATCAATCTCAGTAGACAATGCAGGGAAACAGGAAAAGAAACATATGTGTCCAACATTATATGTTTGCTCCAGTAAACTTGCTTTATACTTAACTTTATAAAAGAGCACTTCTTGGTCCTTGAGGATGAGTGTGTCATATTTTACTCATCTTTGTAAGGTATACACAATTTTTATGGAATACCAGCGCAGCGTGAAGAGTTCTGGTTCTAACAGTTGCCTGTGTAATCAGGATATTAAGCCCTCTCCATGCGATGGCTTCTGAACTTAAAACATTTTTCTCCCATCGCTGCCCTTTTTAATCTTGCAAAACAGATCTGCAAGCAACAAATGAAATACCAGCCTCCCCTTCCAGTCAGCCCCTGATAGCTAGGAGAGATTATCATGCAGCCTCCCCCACTACATCGCTTCCCACCAGATACACCACACTCCAAAAGACTGACTGCCTCCTTTCCTTTCCCTGCCTTCTGTGTAGACTGGGAGGGAGAGCATTGGGGAAGTATTTGGTGGAAGCAGGACTAGATCTGCAGCTTTTTGTTAATCTCTGGGGACAATGTCTGGCCCCAGTTGTTGCATCTTTCATTAGACGATGGGGTACTATGCCTGTTTTTCAGTTATGAGCCTTGTGCCAATTCTGGGACAATAGGAGAGATCCCACTGTACCTCCTTGAGTGGGTGCTGTGGTTTTCTGCCCAGACTCCTCCTTCAGGACTGAAGGACATGTTCCCCGAGCTGCTAGGTTGTTGGTCTCAACAGCTCTCAGCTAAGTCACTCTTCAAAACTTGCCCTTAGCTGAAGAAAACTACCTTGCCCAAGGTCATGGCCCTTTCTCAGGGGCAGCCCACACCAAATGACTAACCGATTTAAAATATAAAGGCCTCTTTCCCTTGCTCTAGTTTAGGACAACTCTGAAGGGCCATTCCAGCTCCAAAGCTCCCGGTCTTAGTTGTATATCGCTGTGTAGCAAATTACCCCAACATTTAATAGTTTAAAACAACACACATTATTCCATAGTGTCTGTGGGTCAAGGAACTCAGGAGTGGCTTAACTGAGTAGTTCTTGTTCAAGGCCTCAGGTAGTTGCAGTCAAGATGTTGGACAGCCAGGTGTGGTGGCTCATGCCTGTAATCCCAGCACTCTGGGAGGCCCAGACAAGAGGATTGCTTTACTAAATATAGAAAAAATTAGCCGGGTGTGGTGGCACATGCCTGTAGTTCCAGCTACTCAGGAGGCTGAGGCAGGAGGATCGCTTGAGCCCAGGAGTTTGAGGTTGCTGTGAGCTAACCTGATGCCATGGCACTCTAGCCTGAGCAACAGAGCGAGAGTCTGTCTCAAAAAAAAAAAAAAAAAAAAGATGTTGGACAGAGACAAGTCACCTGAAGGCTGGACTTGGGCTAGAAGATCCACTTCCAAGATGGCTCCTTCATGTGGCTGACATCAGGAGCATTCACCTGTGAGTCCTTTCGGTGTGGCAGCTAACTTCACCCAGACCAGCAGTCCAAGCAAGGGAGCAGGGGTTTGCAACACCTTGTACGGCCTACTCTCTGACGTCTCACAACTACTTTTCTCCTCTTCATTAGAAAAGAGTCACTAAATCCAGCCCACAGTCAGGGGAAGGGCTCTGCATTTGGGAGGGAGAGCCAACGAACCTGTGGACATATTTTATCCCACCATGTTCCCCATCACTGTTCAACTTCTTCCTCTGCCCAATCCTGCTTCATACACCCCAACCCTCTGCACTTGTTCATCCAGAGATCACCTCCAACAAACTTCCTGCACATTTAGACCTCCACCTCGCAGTCTGCTCTCCGGCAAGCCAACCTGCAACAATCCTGCTATGCTAGCCTCGTGACTTAGCCTCTCCTAACAATTGTATGGTATAGAACGATGACTATCGCCTCAACTTACAAAAGTGAAGAACTTAGGCAAAGATGAATGTACTTGCCCAAGGCCGTGTAGCAAATAAGCGGCAGCCACCCATTCTGACTCTAAAGCTCACAGAGGCAATCACTGATCAACGTGCTACATATATGTGCACACAACTAATGCCTGAATGTATAACAAGGGGGCTCATGAGATCTTAATTAAAAGACTAGACAAAAGACTGCCAATCAAATATGAAAATCAAGAAGGCCTGCAATGTTGTAGTCAAAGGCAATCTTACAGAAGGGAATAGAGGGTCATTGTGTCAACTGATAGTGAAGATACAATATTAAAACCATTGGAGAATAATGCAGTGTTTTAGTTTGGCAGGATTTCCATTACTATAAACTTGGTGACTTAAAACAACAGAAATTTACTCTGTCACACTTCAGGAGGCGACCCCTTCAAAATCAAGGTGTTAGCAGGGTTGGTTTCTTCTAAGGATTGTGAGGAACTGGTCTATTCCAGGTCTCTTTCCATGGCTGGGAGACTGCCGTCTTCTTTACAAGGTCTTTTTTGACGTGTCTTCACTTTCACATGGTGTTCTCTCTATATGAGGGTCTGATTCCAAACTTTCCCTTTCTGTAAACACACCAGTCTTATTGGATTAGGGGCCCATCACTAATGACCTTTTAAAACTTGCTTACTTCTGTAGAGACCTTATTTCCAAATCCAGCCACATTTTCAGTACTAAGGGTTAGGGCTTGAATTTGACAGGAGCACAATTCAACCCAGAACGTATCACAACAAAATATATACAACAAAAATATCAGACATCTAATGATAAAAAGATAGAGACAGTTGTTAAGAGATTTTAGCATAGTCTATCTGAGATTGAGCCGATAAAAAGAAAGACAGGAGGATTTTAACAAAATAAGAAGTACAATTAGTAAGACAGAATCACAGGGAATTCACTTTTCAAGTGTCTGTGGTGCATTTATAGGCATGATTGCTTATAAATCATGCTCCATCCATGACGGATGGGATTAGTACCTTATAAAAGGGACCGAAGGGAGCTAGCTGGTCCTTTCACTCTTTGGTCCCTTGGTCCAAGTGAGGACACAGTGTTCGTCCCCTCCAGAGAATGCAGCATTCAAGGTACCATCTTGGAAACAGAAACCAGTCCCTCACTTTACAAAGAACCTGCTGGAGCCTTGATCTTGAACTTTCTAGCCTCCAGAACTGTGAAAAATAAATTTCTGTTATTTATAAATTACCCAGTCTGTGGTATTTTGTTATAGCAACCAAACAGACTGAGACAATTGCATTCTAGGCCATAAAGAAAATCTCAAACTCAGTTAACTTAGTATGTTCTAGATAACTTAGCTATCAAAACTTTAATCACTTGGCAATTAAGACATACTTTCCCAAATATATTAGGTCAAAGAACAAATAACATGTGATAACCCCTGGCACAGTGGCTCATACCTATAATCCCAGCACTCTGGGAAGCCAAGGTGGGAGGATTGCTTGAGGTCAGGAGTTCAAGATCAGTCTGAGTAAGAGCAAGACCCTGTCTCTACTACACCTGTAGTCCCAGCTACTTGGGAGGCTGAGGCAGGAGGATCGCTTGAGCCCAGCAGTTGGAGGATGCAGTGAGCTATGATGATACCACTGCACTCTAGCCTGGTCCAAAGAGTGAGACTGTCTCAAAAGAACAAAACTGGCCGGGCGCGGTGGCTCACGCCTATAATCCTAGCACTCTGGGAGGCCAAGGCAGGCGGATTGCTCGAGGTCAGGAGTTCAAAACCAGCCTGAGCAAGAGCGAGACCCCGTCTCTACTAGAAATAGAAAGAAATTAATTAGCCAACTAATATATATAGAAAAAATTAGCTGGGCATGGTGGTGCATGCCTGTAGTC